AAGTAAAGTGTAAAGTGTGTGGAAAAAGACAGGGACACACTCCAACACTATATCTTGGATTGTAGTAAAATTGAGCCTTATAGAGATAGATCTAAGCTCACTCTGTATGATATGGCAACCTATCTTATTACCATGGATAAATTACCTGAAATCCTTGCACTGTATCTATATTTCGCTTCCAGTAGATAAACGACATATGAGATGAAGAAACAAGTAGCGTATTGTGAAGACTAATAATAAACAGAAGCTACCCTATGAATATCTCCATTGGTCAAACTATTATGTATTAGCGGTAAGACCTACCATTAATGTATAATGACTTACTGTAAATGTATAGCTCTTGAAATAGCACTTTCTCTGTAACTAACTGACATTGTAACTATAAGGTGTGAAGGATAGATGAAATCGTTTATGAAATAATCTAAGATGAGGTCTGATAAAGACTTTTTGTGCCCTCTGTAATGCTTTTTTGCGCTACCGCTCACAGGATGGGTATGGGGTGCACAATAAACTAGCAGCCTCCGGCGGCAACAATCAAAAGCCTCCTTAGCGGCAACGTCCGCACGCTAATTTAAGGACATACCAAAATGACTGGGAACCCAGCAAAACTCCACTGTCTTAAATCTGCTGAAGGTAAGAAACAGCTAATGTTGAATTTCGACTACCACCGGAAGGACTGGATTAAAGGACTCGAGAGACATGAGGGCACTGTGAGAGTCAATTACAACAACAAAGGAGGATTGACAGGGAGAAAGTAGTTGACGAAGAGCATACAAAATAGCATAAAGTTCTGCCGTGATGATGCTAGTCTCCGGAGGCAGGCGACACATACAGGTGTGGTCAGGAAAACAACAGTGTAGCCTACACCGTCTGCAGACTTAGACCGATCGGTGGAACGACACGAGGAGAAATATTGGTAACATGAATCGAAAGAGAATCTTGTAAGCGAGACAACCGTACATAAGATGGTAGGTGGTGAAGGGGAACAGGGACAACAGGACGGGTAAAGGTCAAAGCACGACATAGGCGAGAGTGAGGGTGTTGTAAGGACCGTGCAAGGTAGCGAAGACAGTAGCGATCACGGCGATCCTGTAGAGACAGGACGCCAGTTTCAACATACAAGCTAGCTGACATTGTAACTATAAGGTGTGAAGGATAGATGAAATCGTTTATGTAATAATCTAAGATGAGGTCTGATAAAGACTTTTCGTGCCCTCTGTAATGCTTTTTGCGCTACCGCTCACAGGATGAGTATGGGGTACACAATAAACTAGCCGCCTTCGGCGGCAACAATAAAAAACAAAAAACATACAAGCTAAGGGTAGGAGTCGAACCAAAGGTACCAGAGCTGGGGCCAACCCAGTATGGTGCAGAGCATCCAAACGGCGAAGAATAGAAGAAGCAGACGAGTAAGCAGGGCAATCATAATCGAGTTTAGACAGTACGAGAGAGGAATGTAAAGAGAGGAACATGCGTCCATCAGCTTCCTAGGAAGTATGGGACAAGACCTTAAATAAGTTAAGGGCCTTAGAGCATTCATCTCGGAGCTAAGAGATATGAGGTGATTAAGACAAACGAGTGTCAAAGATTAACCCCAAAAGCTTAGCAGAATCTTTGTACAAAAGGGGATGACCATAAAGCGACAAAAGGGGACGAAGAACAACCTGCTTCCGAGTAAAAGTCATAGCACAAGTTTTAATTATAGAGAACTTGAAGCTATGACTGGTGGTCCAAGACGACACATCAATCGCAAGTTGAAGCCACCTTTGAAGGGAAGGCGAATCATCACCTCGACAGCAGACTTTAAGATCGTCGACATAGAGCGCTGAGAAGATAGCAGAGGGAAGGGAGGAAAGACCATTGAGGGCAACCAGGAAAAAGAATAGTATTCAGAACAAGAAGGGTACACCTTCGTATTGCCAAAAAGAGGCAGAAAGAGGGGTACCAAGCCTCACTCTAAAGGAACGACTAGAGATGAGGCTTTGGAGGAGGAGAGGGAGATTACCACGATGGCCAAAAGAACGGAGTTGGGACAGAATTTGGTATCTCAAGGTGGTGTTGTACGCCTTTTCCAGGTCAAAAAGAGCAGCAACAACGGAGGTTTTAGCAACAAAAGCAGTATGCATATAGTTCATACTGTTCAAGTTCCCCAAGACATCAGTCGTGCTGCGGGGAAGGGGGAAGGTAGAGAGGACACAGGAGAGAGGGCAGACTAGACAGGAAGAAGAAAAACACCAAACGGAGACCCAGGAGGAGGACCTTCTGGTTCAGAACGTAGAAGAACAAGGTGGTGGTGGTGGGGGTGTCCAGGTCCAAGGCCTGGAAACGGTTGTGAGACTGAGAAAGGAGGGGAGGGCGAGGAGAGGTGGAACGCAGCACATGAGCATAAGACATGCCAGCGAAAGAGGGGTGACTGCGTACTTGGCCTCAGGAAAAGACAAACGATCTTAATGTTTCAAATTAAGGATGGCCTCCTCAAATTTGTAGTGCATACACGCGCGGGAGAAGGTAGGGTGGGCGTCACCGCAATTGATCCTCTGGAAGAACAGCACTCTTTCTTAGAGTGACCCAGTCCCCAACACAAGGAGCATACACACACTGCACTCGTGCATTTGAAGGGAGCATGCCCAAATTTCTAACACCTATTGTAAAGTCTAGGAGAGGGAATGTACTCCTGAACGGATCATCTTGCACCAGCAAGAATGACAGAAGGCAGAAGGGACCTACTATTAAAAGTGATCTTCACAACTCGAAGAGGTAGACTACGACGGCCACGAGCGGGTCGCGTTAACATAGCCTGGAAGATAGAATGGCCTTGGGCTGAAGGATATGTTAAATATCCTCGTGGCAATCTTTCAGTGGCAAGATTCATGAAACAGTTACGCAAGGACTTACGAACGTGTACATTTTTCCTCAATCTTTGATGGCTTTACAAGCAGTTTACAAGCATGAAAACTTCCCAATCAACTGTTGCTATTATTATAAACAGTCTCCTGGTGCTTTGGAGCTCATTAACCGTTTAATAATTGTAAACAAAGCCGCCAAGGATTGAGAAAAGATGGACAGGTTCATAAGTACCTGCGTAACTGCTTCGTGAATCTGGGTCCAGGTCCCGAACACCAGTCGCAACATGGTGCGGGAGAATAACCGTGCTAATACTGGCATTTAATTGGGCGTTTTTGGAGATCCTAACAGGGGTCTTTCCAATACTGGACAACGAGGCTAAGCGAGCAGCTGCTTCCTTAGGAGCAGCAGTAACGACATGTGTACCAGTACGAGTGGGGGTTAAAAGTAACAAAGGTATCTACTGAATCAACGAGGTGTTTATGAAGGAAGAAATCGTCAGGACGTATAGAATTCACATGGTTGAGATCAAAATACTTAGTCCATGTAGCAAGCCCTAACAAGGCTTGGAACATCGTAGAACTGGAAGGAATCGTGTGGGTGCGTATGCGAAGGGGACAACGCCGAGCACCTCCAGTAAGATGGGGGAGGTAAAAGGTGCAGTTGTCACAATGAGAGAAGGAACTGCTCCAGGTGATGAGGTGGTCATCAATGAGGGCTTGGGGCTCGACCCTGCCACAGAGGTGGAAGGGGCGCAGGCGGGGGGGGGGAAGGAAGGTAGTCCGGTCTGGGCCCAATGTAGCGGGGGCTACAGAGCCCGGTCTTCCATCACAGTCCGACTCAGGGGCCTGGTCGCCCACCCCATGCGCCTGGGGTAAGAAAGGTCATGTCAGTATCCATATATGTATTTTAAAAGGTCTGGGGCCTGGAACCAATGGATACCACCTACCAGGGCAGTCAGGGAGGCCGAGCGTGGGCCAGTGCAGGAAGGGGTGCGTCGTCCCCAGCAGTGCTCCCACTTTTTAACAGGAGAGTCCTACTGCTTCGTTCATTCTCCTTCACTGGTGCAAAGACCTCATTCTCCCTTTCACCCCAGACTGGACACCCAGCCATCCACTTAGGGCAGCCATTCACGGGCGACCCCTCCAGCAGGTGGTCAGTTGGCTCACAAGGCCCCCTACGTTTGTGTTCTTTCACACGTACATCTCCCAAAGAGGGACAGGAAAGGGGCGGGGGCAACCCTCACTGGTCCCAGAAAGTAAGTAATTATCAAAAGAAGGGACCAAACCAGGAAGGCTATGTAGCACCATCAAATGTGCTATAATCAGAGGGCGCTAAATATCACCAAGGATGCCAATACGAGAACAGAAATGCATAAAGCAAACGATATCAAAAGTATCCGATTCACCAAGAATTCTATCGAGGGACAAGCGACTGCGAGGGACGGTCGGAAAACAAGACACACGCTCGTCCTGGAAGTCAGGACATTCAACAAGGATATGCAAGACTAAGAGGAACAATGCAATTTGGACAATAAGGAGCAGGGTGGCATTCCATTGAGTGACCATGAGTTAAGCGAGTATGGCCAATACGCAACCACGCTAAAGCCGTTTCCCATCGCCGGTTACGGTGGTAGGAGGACGGCCACGAGGACACACAACTTTTAAGAGTATGCAGTTTGTTATCATTAACAGAAGACCAACAAGCCTGCCAACGGGTAAGGATGGAGGAATGAATAACTGGGTAAAAGTCGGAATAAGGAATACTTTTACGAGAGATGGGACAAGAACGGACAGCTTCCCTAGCGGCAGCATTCGCACGCTCATTTAAAGAGACACCAATATGGCTGGGAACCCAGCAAAACTCAACCGACTTTAAGTTTACTGTGAATAAGAAACAGCCAATGTTGTATCTCGACAACCACTGGATGAACCAGATTAAAGGACCCGAGAGCCATGAGGGCACTACGAGTCAACAACAACTACAAAGGAAGATTGACAACGAGAAAGCAGGAGACGAAGAGCATAGAGAATAGCCGGTCCCAGAAAGGTGTACGTGAGCCCCCTCACCACGACAAGGAAACACAATGAGGGGGGGGGGGGGGGAAGTTGTCTGAAATTAAGTTATTTCTAGCTGTGACATGAATACCATTAAAGTCTTTTTAACAATACATTTATTCATAAAAATATACACAAACAATACTGTATTACAGTATAATACATTCAATGAACAGTTTTGACATTTTATATACATATCTTCAAGGTAGTGCACACTTATGAATTTCTGTTCAGAGCAATGTTTAAGAAATTGCCATAAAAACATTATATCACAATTTGTAACAATTTCGTTAGTAATCAAACCTAAGGATTGGTTTATATTCATCCATTCATGAGTACACAGCACTGACTATCCATCTATCCATTCATCTCAATCTTTTATCTTAATTAACCAGCAGCTATTGGTTACGAAGTAATTATTTGTTTAATCCAAATTACATGAACAAATTGTATATAAGTTTTCTTATAGGCCTATTCTAAGATTTTGTGTACTCTTGAATTATGTATTCTTAGTACAAATTACGGTCTCATATTCGTTTCAATCCAATTCCTGTAGTGAGAAACAGAAGTATAAACACCAGGTACATCTTTCTGACCACAGTTTACGGGACCATAGGACACCAAACCAACCTGCAGGAAGGGTGGACCTGTAGTACCTGACATCACTAGAGGGCCACCAGAATCTCCTCCACAAGAATCCTGTCCTTTGATACCTCCAAAGCAAATCTGTAAATTTAAAATTATGTCAATAAATGTTTTACTTACGGTATATGGTACGTACGCACGCGCACAAATGCAGATGTGAAACCCCAAAGGGTTAGGGAGTCTTTACACTAGTTAACTAGTGATTAAGGAACTAGATCTGATCCTCAGAAAGACATCTAGACGAATACATCACATATGTGCCCTCACAGTTATTGATAAATACATACTTCCTGTGGTGGTTGGTGGATGAAAAACAAGGCAATGCGAGGAAAGACTTTCATGGGGCTTCCTACGCAAGATTTCCTTCCCACGATATAGAGACGCAACCCTGCTGTCGCAACAACGTTACTCTCGACACCATAGCATGTAATCTTGTGTAATATAATTGAAAGTCACCTTCCAGCATTATACAAACTCGCTGATCCTACTCTAGTTTAGTAGAATAACTCAGTATGTCTTAACTATGCATTACTGATTGCAAATCATGATAACCATTGTTTCAGCAAAAGCACAAGCATAATAAATGGAGACTTTGCGATATTGTTTTAGAGTACACTTAATGGATCTTTTTACATTCCAGTAAATAGATATCTGGGAGTAAGTAAACTGTCGTGGGTTACATCCTAGATAAGATCAGTCGTTAGACTGGGAACCCATTGATAAGCCTAACAGGCTTCCTGTCCACAACTATGGGAAACCAAACCACAAGATAAAAAATCAGTTTAAACCTTAGGCTGTTGCACATGTCCGTGAGCATTATAAGTAGATATGGCTTAGTATGTGTGGCTAGTTTCCACGAGTGTTTTAGCATCTGGGTTATTGGAGAATAAATGGGCTGACGTTCAGTTGTACTTTTGACTATTATAGATCTCTGGCGAGTGCCCATCTTATGGATAATTAGACAGTTCCCATGTACAAAGCCCTTTTGAGAACACGTCGTCTGTGTATCTCAAATACAAAAGAATTGTACGTCATTCTTTACATAGCAGTAACTGCGGACCTGGTTGTAAAACAGTTGGTAGGTCATGTTCCAGGGAAACTAAGGTCTGAAGTCATCTATATGTTCGTGTACCCACCAGTCAAAAAAAACGCCTCTAGCAGTCACCGTAGTTGTATTTTCTCATCTTAGACCCAAAATAAGGTAAATCGAATTGTTTTTATAGTAATCTACTTTTTAACGGAGAGGCGGGAACTACAGCTAATATGACATGACAGAAGGGTTGACTGCCATCAGATACCATAGTAGTGCTTCACTGAAGATTGAATATCTAACTTGAGTACCAGTTAGCTACTTCTGAAACTTTTTTGTGAGCATCTATAGCCTGGTTGGTAAGATGATCTCATTGTTCAGGCCCAGGTTTGAATCTCTGACAATCGAGGCAATATGGGGCCTGACAGCTGAACGGACAGCGCTTCGGATTCGTAGTCCTGAGGTTCCAGGTTCGATCCCCGGTAGAGGCGGAAACAAATTGGGCAAGGTTTATTTCACCCTGATGCACCTGTTCACCTAACAGTAAATAGGTACCTGGGAGTTAGACAGCTGCTACGGGCTGCTTCCTGGGGGTGTGTAACAAAAAGGAGGCCTGGTCGAGGACCGGGCCGCGGGGACGCTAAGCCCCGAAACCATCACAAGATAACCTCAAGACAGATCGATGTGAATTATTATATACATTATTATACATGTTACAGACCTTTATTTCAATTATGTACAGCATTTGACAAGTAAGCATGGATGTTCACAAAAAATCAGTTATACGCTGAAATGCAAGTTTATATAGAACGATAAGTAACAAAACCTAAGCTATAAACAAACACGTTGTTTCCATTTACCTGTTCATCAACAATGTTTCCTCTGTAGCTAATACTGCAATTCTCTTTACTAAAGTATGGTAGCAAGACGTGCAACAGGACGCTACTGGTAGTACCATTCTCTGTGAAGCCCCAGCCAGCTATGAAGGACTTATGTTTAGGGGCAAATTTCGAAACGTCTAGACCTTGAGGTGGTAGACATACTGCACGAATCCATGCTGAAAAAAACATTACAATTTAAATTATGAATGCAAAAATCATGAAAAATTTGTTAATGCAGACCAAATAAACTCCTAAAAAAGTTATGCCAAAATCAGAGAATTATATTTGGCAAATTATAAATAAAATAGGAACTTTAAAGTTAAAACAAACAAAAATTAATTATTGACTGCTAATTAAATGGAAGGTTTAATAGCAATATAAGATGGTTACAACAGACAGGAAATTTGCTAGAATTATTGAGACTCCCCGTAGCCAACGACTGGCCATTCTCCAAGATACAGCCCATAAAAGATCATTACTGTTAGGTAAAGAGATATTGCATGTAACGAAACACGGCCAAACGTCTCGAGACGTTTGGCCGTGTTTCGGATAAGAATAGATTCCTGGTCAGGACGATCGTCCTGACCAGGAATCTATTCTTACTAACGGGTTATTTATTTTTTGTCTTTATAATATAGCAACAAATATTTACAATAAAAATAAGGAAGCATACACAGAACAGTACTAAACAGCACAGGATACTATACAAGCCAAAACACCAAACAAAACTGATACATAATACAGAAAATATACATACATAAGGACACGCAACATGGAACAGCGCCAGGGCGCACAGAACAGGGAAACAGAATTACATCATAGGAAACAGAAAGGCACGACAAAAACAACCAATACCACACAATAAAAAGAAAACATACCAGTGAAAAATAAACACCCACAAAGGCCACCAAACAAACGGAGGCCGTTACCACCACCAACACACACGGAACCTAAGAAAACAACGGGCAACAACAAGGGAAATGTAGGGGCAGCTTGCAACCCCAAGCATACATACAACCACACCCAAACTGAAAGCAGTGACAGGAAGGCAATTAAGGGGAAGCCTTCAACCCTAAACAAGCACACAACCACACCTTCCAACCTGAAAAAACAGGGGAACACGGTCACAGGAAAGGCCTAAGAGAGCAACGTACAATAAACTGACGAAAACCAGCACACCGCACACACACAGACAACGATCACAAAGAAGGAAGACACCAACGGACCCGCTACAAGACACTCACGCACACGTTGCCCGTAGTATACGAGAACGCAGCCGCGAACACGTGGGTCAACGACCAGGAACCACCCATACAGTCGGCGGCAGATTGTCATTTGACAACGGTATATCAGGCCCATAATCAGGACGAGGAAGCGGAAGCCCCAAAAGGAAGGGCCACAGAACCCCTTTTCAACACCAAACGCAAATCAGTACAACCACCGGCACCAGGGTCAACGACTCCCCCCCCCCCTCCACCTCTGTTCACTGGTACTGGAGGGTTCACGGGCAGGCACTGGCAAAGCAATCACCGCACCCCCTCCCCTGCTCCTCCACAACCACATCCACCCCACCCGTGTCCACTGTAGGTACCAATGTGGCCTTACCACCAGGGGACCGCGACCTGGAAGTCCTCTTCCTACGTTTCTGCTGAGGGACCAGCTCATCCGAACTCAACGTGTCCTGTAGGCGTCGAGGGGAAGGCACATCCTCCAATGAAGAAGCAGTTGGAGACGCCTCCCGAGACGACGGGCAAACCCCCCACGTCCAGAGAGCCCACAGGTGGAGCTAGTGCCCCAGAAACGCTCACCACTGTGGACGGGGACGCAATCCAGGAAGCCAGGATCACCATCACCACCACGGCAGGTGATGCACTGCGAACCTCCACCGGCACAGACGGCACCACACAAAGCCCAGTAGCCGGAGCCTCAACCCCACACACCGCCTCGTCGGCAGCCCCAGGTAAGTGTAAAGTGTAAATCCCAGCAGTGATAACAAAGATGGGATATCCCGCATCAGAAACATTGTCAGCGTCCTGATGCCAGCAACCAGTCCCTTAAAATACCCAGCGGAAACTAAATTCCACCTCACACTTAACACCTTCCCATATCACCCAAACCGCTGGGTTAAGATCATATCCGACATTTAAAACGTGCACCACGCTCCGCCATCTACGTCAATTTTACACTCAAGTTCACCACACGCACCAAACCGGCACCATCTGGCATTCAAAACGTGCAACCCTCACGCTGACAAAGGAACTGCCGGAGCACCTCCGACCGAACAAATTTCACTACAACGCGGCGATCTTGAATCAACTGCACACCCACCAGGTCTGTCATTGTCACAAGGAGCAAGTCAACCAGTGCACTACCAATCGCTGCATAGTCAACAGGCATCGAAAAGTCCCTCCGAAGATGTTAGTTTAAGAGGAGGCAGAAAGGACCCCATCTTTAATCAAAGGTGCACCCTACCACACAGGCCACAGGAATGACCTTCAACCACCACCTCCATGCTCAGGTCGGCAACTGGGGAGCAACACCTGAGCACGTTCGCTCAGCAAAAACAACCAGTTCATCCTGGCGGGAGTTGCACGCTAGCTGCCGTGAGGTGCAGACGTGTCGCCTGGCCTCTCTGGTAGTTGGGATGTTTGCCACTTTAGTCGGCAGGGGGTGTGGGTGTCTCTACCCTCCCTGCTGTTCCCTCCTAGTTGGTGTGGACGTGGCGAGTTTTGCGATGGGCGGCCATCTTTCCCCTGTTGTGAGGTCAACTCCATGGGATTGGAGTTTACTGGTCGTGCTGGGTATCCTGTAGTGGAGCATGTCATGTGTGACGTGCTCCGTATCCCGGTAATGGACATCTACGGTGTGGAGCTGGTAACCGCTCACCATGTGGTTATAAAGTTTGTGGGCGAAACGGTGTACCGTGACTTTCTCCGGAGGTACAAGGGACGTACCTTGCAGCTGCAGGATGGCACCGGATCTGTGTCCATTACGGATCGTAGTGGTGCCATGACGTATGTGAGTGTCCATGGGGCCCCCCTGGAAATTCCCGAGACCCCTCCTCCGGCGCTTCTTCCAGCGGTTTGGCGCCGTCGTTAGTGTGCGGCTGCACACGCTTTCTTCTGGCAAGTATACCGGTGTGAGGACCAACATTCGTACCCTAGGGATGCGCCTGAGGTGGACATTCCATCTTCTGTTTGGCTTTTAGGGTACTACGTCCAAGTGTACTATGCCCGGCAACCACGGACATGTTTTCGTTGCAGCATGTTGGGGCATCAGGCTGCTGGGTGCAGTGAGGCTGCGACTGCTCCTGTGAACATGTTCAAGGAAGAGGATTTCCCGCCGCTCCCTGTGGAGGAGCGGAGGGAAATTGGATGCCCACCTACTCCAGGGGTGAGGAGGTGGGCATCCCGATCGCTGCTGAGGCTCCCCCCCCCCCCCCCTGCGTCTCCGTGTACGCCTCCGGGTGTTGAGGCGCCGAAGGAGGTTCTTCTTGCTCCGGTCGCTGTTCCAGCTGCTCTCGTGGATCTTCCAGGCGCTCTCAGTGCGTCGTCGGCGCCCTCCTTGTCCTCGTCTCCTGCTGCTGCGCGCGGCCCTGCGCCCTCGACTTGTGTCCCGCCTGTGATGAGTGGTGGGGTGGGAGACGTGCTTCCTGCTGTGTGTGGCCCAGTTCCCCTGTGGTCGAGGCTGCTGCTGTCTTGCGTCGTGCGTCCGTCCGCCCGGCTTGTGGGGCCCGTGCTTCTGGGTCCGCTTCCGGCTCGAATGATATATGTCCGATGCTCAAGCGCTCCCAGCGTTCGTCTTCTGCCTGGGCTGATGTGGGTGACTTCAGTGACGGTGAGGCTTCAACTATCAAGAGGGTGGTTCTGGGTGCTTCGCACTCTGCGCAGTTGGTGGTGGCGGAGGTCCATGCGCCTAGTGATGCTGGTGATGTAGGCGCCCGTCTCTCTGCAGTGCCTTTAGTTCTGCCTTCAGCGGACGGTTCTCCGCGGTGGGAAGTGGTTGCTCCTTCTGTTGTCGATGCTGTGAGTGCTGGTGCTGGCCGTGGCATCGTCATGGTGCTGAAGAAGGATGCCCGACGTGGGTGGTCCCAGCGGGTGCATCTTCCCGTGGGTAGTGTGGAGGCCTGTGCGGAGCCCGCGGTAGGTCCTAGTGAGCGCGCTGGTGTGCAGCAATGTGCGCCCCCTGGTGTGCCTCTGTGTGCGCCATCTTCTACCAGGCCCCCTGAAGTGGACCCCTTTCCTATCGTCTTGGCCTCAGGGGAAGTGCATGATTTTTCCACTATGAGTTTTCACACGACTGAGTGCGTGCTCTCGGTTCCGTGGGATCCTACTTGCGTTTGGGTTCTGCGAGATAAGTGTTTAGTCCAGGGTGTGCCGGACTTCATGCCTCGGCCAGATGTGTTTTACGGTCCTCAGGTTCCGGAGATCGCCCAGTTGCTTTGGGAGGCGTATTGTATACGGTTCCCCGGCATCTCAGTTTCCAGAAAAGTATCAGTAGTCCGTGCTCTATTTGCCCAGTGCCTGCGTGCAAGGGGAATGACGTTGTGTGTGTGCGTGTGGATGTTTCCTCTAGGCTCCTGCGTGGGCCTGTTTCGGTTTGTTTGTGCTATTGTTGTGCTTGTTTGTGTTTTGCGGCGACCCTTCCGGCGGCTTCTTAGATTGTTCCTGTCATTTTTTTTTTTTTTGTATATATGTTCTGTGTTTTTTGTGTGTTTTGTATTGCTTGTTGCCATATTATCTTATTACTGGTGCTTCATGTTCCTGTTTTGCTGGCGGCCCTTCAGGCAGATGATTCTGTGCTTTGTTCCTGTGTATTCTTCTGTATATTTGTTTTCGTGTTGTGCTTTGTTGTCGGTCCTTCAGGCCAGTGCTTCTATGTTTGGTTTGTTGATTGTTACTATGTTTTGTTTTTTTGTCATTCTTTGCTTGCATGTCACATTTGTATTCTGTTTTATTGTATTTAATTGCATGCGTGCATGTAAAAATAAATATAAAAAAATAGTTCATCCTGGCGGCATGCGAGCGACCCTAATGAATTATCAGTCGACTGCGAATACCAATTTTCATCGAGAGAATTTTAGATATTAGTTCTTAACAATATGAAGGGGTGACATCTAGCTCTGTAGGTCTTGCTTCCTGGCCTTTTGTAACTTGCTCAATATATATTGTGTCCAATTGATGTGTGGTATATTTTTTTCAAGCTGTGGATGGAAGTGGTTTTATCAACTACCTGCAGTGTAGTTGATAAAACTTGCAAACTAAATTAGTACAGACTACTGGAATTTCCTTATATTTCTACGACTATTGCATTTCCCAGCTTCCACCATATCCTTTTGTCCTACTTTATAAATTTAAAGAGGCTGTATGTGGTGATCATATTTCCTCCCAAATGCAATGTCTCTCCACTACTTAACCTTACCTTACGGTTACCTTTCGATGATTTCGGGGCTCAATGTCCCAGCGACTCGGTCCCCGAGCAGGCCTCCTGGTTGCTGGATTGGTCAACCAGGATTGAGGATTGAGGACTAGGATTGAGACAATTTCCACAATTTGTTCTCAAAACAGAACACCGTGTTGCAAGGTTCAGCACTTGATAAAGTTTCATGTTTGCTTCACGAGATGCAGATTACATGCCGGTGCTGCATATTCTAGTACTGGTCTCACAAACGGGGTATGTATGGTCCTAAAGGCCTCCTACTGTTTAGTTTTTATATGACGTTCTTGTATTCGCCAGCTTACCTTATGCTGGTGACATCCTGTTCATGTGTTCTGTTGGACAGTGGGAGTGTGTGTGTAGCCACCTAATTTTGGTGTGAGGGCTTTGGTTCTCGTTCCACCTCTTCACCTTCAACCAACATTTAGAAACTGTACTTGTGGTCGATCTCGAACCCATTTTTGATGTGACGACTTATACTGAATTTTGTAACTAGCTCATCAAGAATGTAACTTGCTTAGCTAAATGAATTGTGGGGTTCAGTCCCTGAGCCCATTATGTGCCTCTGTAACCCTTTCCACTACCACCCACAAGATGGGTATGGGGTGCATAATAAATGAACTAAACTAACTAACTTCAACCAACTGGTGTATGGGCCCCAAACCTTAATGGCTCTGTCATATTTACCCTTAAAGCTGGGCATGGATTCTGCCTCTACCACTTCACTTTAGTTTTAGTTTAGTTCATTTATTATGCACCCTATACCCATCCTGTGGGCGGTACTGGAAAGGGTTACTGAGGCATATAATGGATTCAGGGACTGAATCCCAAAATTCATTTAGCTAATCAAGTTAGTCTTGATAAGCTAATTACAAAATTTAATGTATATTGTTGCATCATCAATTACTTCGAGACCGACCACAGGTACAGTCTCTAAGCTAATCAACTGACATATGTGGTGAGCTATAGTGTCATAATTGATGTTTAACCTGCACCCCCTTAACCAGAAGGCAGCGGTGGAAAGGTTACAATCACCCACATTTACTACCATCAATGAGCAAATTGGGGCCATTTGGCTAAAAATTCTAGTAGTACACATTTTGAATGAAATATTTACACATTTGTTATAGAGTTGTGAATTTTGTGAATTCCATTTATTCACTATTCTGACGTTAAACAAATTCCTTCTAACGTTTGCGGCTTATTTGCATAATTAGTTTCCAAACGTGTTTCCATGTTCATGTACCACCCAATCCATATATTCTATCGTTTTAGTTTACACGCACACACCCCTTTCCCCTCTTAAATTTACTTCCTCAACGTCGTGATCAAAAGATAAAAACAAGTCGAGTTCAGAAACTACACGAGAAGTGGGTAAGGGGGTCCTTACCAGCCCAGCCCCGTGTGTGTGTTTCGTTGTGGTGTTTACGAAGTCTTGAATTGGTTCCAAGTCTAACCTGTAAATCTGTTATATATCCGAGTTTGTGTGTTTTAGCTCACTTAAAAAAAATTCAGTGGAGAATATATGAGAACTCTCTACTATATATGACTATACAGTATAAAGAAAACTTAAAATGATAAAATATTCACTTACGTGTAGATAAGTCGATGGATTTGTTGAGTCTGATGAGAGCAATATCATCAGAAAATTGTACTCTAGTATTATAGTTGGGGTGAATTATGACCTCTTCATAAGCATTGTCCTGGGCCTGGGGAATACAGACGATACCTAGACAGTCTGGGTCGCTTTTTAAATCCCATTCTCCTAAGCGGATGACTTCACTAAAAGAACAAATAAGATTAAAGTACAATGCCTGTACCCTATTATATAAACAACAAATGAAAATTCCCAAACTTATCCCACGGGACATACATTATGCTATCAGTTGTAAATTATAATATCTACAAATTTTGTTACTCATGTTTGATGCTTAAAGACAATTTTCTTTACTTACAGTTTCTTTCCAGCTAATGCAGAAGAGTGTACACAGTGCGCAGCCGTCAGTATGTACCTCTCGTTAATAACTGACCCCCCACAAAGGAACTCTATCCCTGGGAATCCAACCACTGAAAAGTTTTAAAAATAATTAAGATGTACAATACTCTTGTAGGGTTGACCAGTTCTCACAATAACAATTAATAAATTATTTAGCATTCGATTATATAACGAAACTTTGACAACTTCATTTAATAAAAAATAATTTAAATTACACGCTAGTTATGCAGGCGATGAGTCACAATAACGTGGCTAAAGTATGTTAACCAGACCACACACTAGAAAGTGAAGGGACGACGACGTTTCGGTCCGTCCTGGACCATTCTCAAGTCGATTGCGTAATCGAGAATGAGTCATTCTCAATCGACTTGAGAATGGTCCACGACGGACCAAAACGTCGTCGTCCCTTCACCTCCTAGTGTGTGGTCTGGTCAATCTACACGCTAGTTATCTTTACGCATTTACTACAAGCTCACTTATTCACTGACAGATCCAGAGACTTTGCTTCTTTCTCACGTCCACTGTCGCAAACTTTTTTCTTTATTAAATAATATACAATATAAAGATCATATTTACATCAATTTATAAAGGAAAAATACTACATTACATATAGTTTATACAATTATCAGTAAACCAATGGTGCATACCATCATGGGCCATGAGCCTTAAACCCAAAATGTTATATGTAGTTGATCCTGCCTCGTAAGAACGTCAATATTTTGTCTACTGAGTAACCCTCCTGCCTGCCTATTCTCACACAAAAAATATAATTAGAAAGTAGTATAATTGTATTCTTAATTTTCTTGAATTTTATGTCAATATGAAACATTAAAAACCTCATTAAATCAACTCTAATGCTTGATCCACATAAAGCTTTAAGAGTGTCTGTAATCCAGTTTACAAGAACAAATTTTTTGCTTACAAAAAAAATACATAGTTTTCTCAATTTCAATACATTGATCACACCTATTGTTGTCCTTAATTCCCAGCATCAACAACCTATCATTAGTAGGAAGAGTCTCGTGAATATAGCAAACTCACCAACTCCCACCCACTCAATCAAGCTATATAGTCGTAATGGCTTGGCGCTTTCCCTTGATAGTTAGTCAATCAAATCCATCCACTCACACCTGTACAAACTATTTAAAATGAAGGTATTCCTGTAATGTATTTTACATCTTTGTCATGTCTAGGAGAAAAAACTATTTATTCCCTATATGTTATTTTGTTTATGATACAATTATAATATAACACTGTTTCCAGGAACGTACATCTTCATATATATATTCACAATATAAAGATGCACGTTTGTAAGTAGGCTATATAAAACAAATGATAATGTTTCAAAATGGTAATTCAAAACATGCAAGTGTTAAAACAAAATCTTTATAATTAGCATTCAGCTACATTTTGTAACATTTGCCTTCTGCGTCGGAAATAAATAATTATTATCACCATATTTGTTTTAGATTATTTTACACTGGAATCAAACAAGCAATCTAATAAAATTTTTTCCCAGAACCACATCTGATCAACAGATCAGGTTGTAGACTGGGATCTCCAGAACCATGACTATAGGTTAACGTGTAATTACTAGTATCAGTGCTTCTAACCTGAATATCCTAATGCAGCTATCCAACGATAAGCACCTAAAGGCGCAGCTGTTCCTCCAACGACCTTGTTGAGGTCTGCACCCTGACCGCAGTTCCTAGGCAACAATGAGGTTTTGGGGGTGGATGGTGGAGTTGTTGTTGGTTTGGACGGACAACACACCTGTAAAATATGAATTACTGTCCAGTTTCCCCCATGAGCAGTAGTGTTGTGAAAGACTATACATCACTTATGACATTAAATTAAGCAAGAGGTATTTAAGCCTACCTTGGGATCTGTTTCATAAGTACAAGTGGCTCGCCGAAGAGCACTGATGTTCTCCAAGGTCGGTTTCTCGAGTAGCTTCCGCATCTCAGGACATTGCGACAGTGGAATGCACGGGTGTGGACAGTCAGCTCCTGATGGATTGCATGTAGCCTCAGTCAATAAAGTTTAAAATTATTGTCAATATATAAAATTAAACCAGTGTTGAACACTTCTGTTTATGTGTTAACTTCTATATTATAAATTCTAATTACTTAAATTAAATATATTAAATTCCAATATTTAACTAGTCAGAGAAATGATTCATACGAAATAGTTTATTAAATACAATACCTTATAATCATTCTGTGGAGTGAGATGGAAGGCTTACAGTGGATTATACTAATAATGACATTCATAATTGGATCCCAATATTATTTATCTAAGAAAGTTATAGTGCTAGTTAGCTATTTTCAGTAGAGGATTTGATATTAGAAAGTAATGGCAGCTTTTGGCCTCGTATAGCAATAGGCATTCTGCAGTTTCCTATATTCTCATGCTTCTCATTTGATAATTTAACAATATGTGCACTCGCTCAAGTAAAATGTCCCATCCACATCATGCACCACACCCCACATCCACATCATACACCATACCCCCACCCACATCATACACCATATCCCATCCACATCATGCACCACACCCCCATCCACATCATGCAACACACCCCCCATCCACATCATGCACCACACCCCCATCCACATCATGCACCATACCCCATCCACATCATACACCATATCCCCATTCACATCATGCACCATACCCCATCCACATCATGCATCCACATCCCCACCCCCCACATCATGCACCACACCCCCACACCATGCACCACACCCCATCCACATCATGCATCCACATCATACACCATGCACCCCCCATCCACATCATGCACCACACCCCCATCCACATCATGCACCACACCCCATCCACATCATGCACCACTCCCCCATCCACATCATGCACCACACCCCCATCCACATCATGCACCACACCCCCATCCATCATCATGCATCATGCACCACACCCCCCATCCACATCATCCACATCATGCACCACACCCCATCCACATCATGCACCACACCCCATCCACATCATGCACCACACCCCCATCCCCATCCACATCATGCACCACACCATCATGCACCACCCCCATCCACATCATGCACCACACCCCCATCCACATCATGCACCACACCCCCATCCACATCATACACCATACCCCCATCCACACCATGCACCACACCCCCATCCACATCATGCACCACTCCCCCATCCACATCATGCACCACTCCCCCATCCACATCATGCACCACACCCCCATCCACATCATGCACCACACCCCCATCCACATCATACACCATACCCCCATCCACATCATGCACCACACCCCCATCCACATCATGCACCACACCCCCATCCACATCATGCACCACACCCCCATCAGTAGTAGGGAGTAAGACCCCCATTTTTTTTCGGATATGTTTTACATGTTTTCAACTTAGAAAAATCGTCTATGTAAGCCTTAGTTATTCATATAAATTTAGAAAATCACCTGTGTAAGTCATGGTTTTCAGGGTTTCGTACATCACACCCCCCTCCCTCCCCCCTTACCTCGCAATCTCTCGCGTCACCTTTATTTACCTTACGCCCGGCCAGCCAGTCGGCTCTTATCTTATCTTATCTTCTTCATAATATCTGGACCGTCCCTCCTCTCTCTCTCTCTCTCCTTTCATTCAGTTCAGTTCAACTATTTTCCAACATCGTATGTTTGCTCCTTTTCATTAAGCAAGTCAGTTTTACACAAATAAATCATGTTAGTAAGCATGTTCTAGCTCACGTTCCCCCACCTTAGTCCCCTGTCGTATAATGAATACTATCATTCCAATCCCTCTAAAATTTAAAAATAATCATATTTCAAATGTAGTTCAATACAGTAATTTAGTTACCAAGCTCCAGCGCTTGTCCTCCGCCTTAGCTCTCTCTCGTATCTTCGTTAGTATCAGTCCAATTTCCCTGAAATTTCTACCCTCTGTATTTCAGGCACCGTAAATAAGATCAAAACAGTTACCAAGCTCCAGCGCTTGTCCTCCGCCTTAGTTCTCTTTCGTATCTTTGTAAATAAACCATCAATTTCCCTTAAATTTTTACCCTCTGTATTTCAGACACCGTAAATAAAATCAAGTCAGTTATCGAGCTCCAGCTCTCGTCCCCGCCTTAATTCTCTTTCGTATCTTTGTAAATAACCCATCAATTTCCCTAAAATTAAAAGCAGACATACTTCAAAGTTAGTAAATAAGATCAAGTCAGTTACTGAGCTCCAGCTCTCGTCCCCCACCCTCTTCCACCCTCAAGTCTTTGTAAATAAACCATCAATTTCCCCGAAATTTTTACCCTCTGTATTTCAGACATAGTAAATATGATGAAAACAATTATAAAACTCTAGCTCTTGTCCTCTGTCCAAGTTCACTCCGGTAAATTCATTACTATCAGTCCAAATCCCCCTGAGATTTAAACACTCAACTACATTTTCAGACATAGTAAATAAGATCAAGTCAGTTACCGAGCTCCAGCTCTTGTCCCCCTGTATTTGCATATTTTCTCTATATTCAGCTGTATTCTTCACTTTTTGTCCGTGTTTTCTGTGTTCATTCCATGTTCTACAAATGTTCACAGTCCCATTCAGTTCATATTTTCACAAGTATCTCCATTTTTTTTCTATAATCTTTCTCTTAGTCTCATTACTTTCTCTACAAATTCTAGTCATATTTTCTATGTTTTCATGTTCATCACATGTTCTCTTTACAACTTTTATACTCAATATTCATGCTAACTTCCATATGTTGTGTTCTTTGTCAATATTCATGTTCCTCTACAAGTTCATATTCCCAGCATGTTCACTGTATTCATCAACTTTTTCTTACATATGTTCTTTGCCATGTTCCTCATATGTTCTCTGGGTTTTTCCCCTTACATGTTATCTAACGTTCCTTAACTAAAAAATCTTTCACCAATCAACTAAAACATAGTCACTTTCGTCATTTCTCAACTAAACTTATTATCCAGTCAACTAAAAATAGTCAGAAATAGCCTCGTTCAACACTGTTCTTAACTAAAACAACCTTTCTCTTAGCTAAAAATTGTCAAAGGAAACTTTTTTCAGCACTTTCTTAACAGGCGCTATGTTTCATCAAGAAAAAACTGTCAAAGGAAACTTTCCAAAACTGTTCATAACTAGCTTTTATCCATCGTCAATCAACTAAAAATAATAACTTTCATCATTTCTTAACTAAACATATTCCCCATTCATCAGAAAATAACCGTGTTCATCATGTTTCATTGTCATTTCATAACTAAAATTATCTGCCAATCATCAGAAAAAGTCACTTTCATCATTTCTTAACTAAACTTATTCCCCAGTCATCAGAAAATAACCGTGTTCTTCATGTTTCATTGTCATTTCTTATCTAAAAATTATCCGCCAATCATCAGAAAAAGTCATGTTCATCATGTTTTGTCTTTTGCTCAACTAAAAGTATTCATCGGTCAACTAAAAATAGTCTCGTTCATCATTTCGTAACAACCATTATGTTTTCGTCAAATAAGAAAATATAGTCACAGATATCTATCATCGTCATTCTTAACTGACATTTTATACTTTGTGGAGCACTAAAATAGCCACTTTCGTCATGTCTTGTCTTTTTCCATAACTAAAAGTATTCATCGGTCAACTAAAAAATATTTACTTCATCATGTTTCCTTGTCATTTCTTAACTGAAATATCACTTCTCTCATTTTAAAATAGTCAGAAATAGCCTCGTTCAACACTGTTCTTAACTAAAGTAACCTTTCACTTCGCTAGAATAGTCATATTCATCGTTGTTCCTAACTAAATTATATGTCGTTAAGTAAGAAATATAGTCAAAGACACTCTTCGAGACATCAGGGACTTACTCAAAGACATCAAAGTTGCACTCAAAGACATCCTTTTCATTCATCAGAGAAACTTTCTAAGACGTCTTTGTTCATTAAAGTTAATCTCTTGTCCACAAAGTTATTCTGAGCTATCAAACTTGTTCTCAAAGACATCAAATGTTATTCACAGTCATCAAAGTTATTTTGTAACTCACTTTGTCCACAAAGTTATTCTCAGTCATGTTATGTTATGTTATTCTCTAACTCACTTCCATTCATCAAAGACATTCTCTAACTCCTCAAAGTTAATCTCTAAGACAACAAAGTCTTTCTCAGAGCTAACAAACTTGTTTTCAAAGTCATCAAAAGTTAATCTAAGACATCTTTTTTCATCAAAGTTATTTTCAGAGACATCTAAAGTTAATCCAAGACATCATCTTTCATCAAAGATATTCTCTCTAAGCCATCTAAAGTTAATCTTAGAGTTATCAAATGCAATCTCTAACTCACTTTGGTCATTAAAGTTAATTTCTATGTTATAAAAGTTTGTCTCAGAGACATCAAAGTTATTCTAAGAGCTATCAAAAGTTATTCTCAGTCATAATATGTTATTCTCTAAGTAACCTTCCGTTCATCAAAGACATTCTCTAAGTCCTCAAAGTTATTCTCTAAGACAACAAAGTCATTCTCAGAGTCATCAAAAGTTATTCTCAGAGTCACCTTCGTTATTCAAAGAAGCCTACTGAGACATCCTCGTTCAACAAAACTGTCCTCAGAGCCACCAAAAAAGTTAAATACAGTCGTCAAAGCTATTCTCTAAGTATCTTTTCGTTCATCAGAGAAGCTTTCTAAGACATCTTTGTTCATCCAAGTTGTTCTCTAAGACATCAATCTTGTTCTCTAAGACATCAAAGATGTTCTCTAAATCATAAAAGTTAATCTCTAAGTTACCTTCGTTCGTCAGAGAAACTTTCCAAAACATCTTTGTTCATCAAACTTGTTTTCAAAGTCATCAAAAGTTAATCTAAGACATCTTTTTTCATCAAAGTTATTTTCAGAGAAATCTAAAGTTATTATGTAAGACATAAAAATTATTCTCAGAGTCATCAAATGTTATTCTCGAAGTCATCAAAGATTTTTTCAGAGACATCTAAAGTTAATTTCTATGTTATAAAAGTTATTC